CGTAGCATGTCCGGATTGAGCATCTGTGATCGCTTGCCGGGATCGCTTAATGCAGTTGTGTGCGTTTTTATTAGAAACGTCGTTTAAAATATACGTTTGTTACCAATAAAATAAAAACAAATGTATTTGAAAAATGACACTGGGCGTCACTTTAATGACATTTCAGGTGGTCTACTTTTTAATTCAGCAAGAATTATTAATTATTGTTAATTCTGCAATAGTTTCTTTCGTCTTGGGTGGCCCAACTGACGGCATAGAAAGTCTGTGTCGTTGGATACAATGAAAATGTCCCCCCAAAATATTTGATAATTATTTTTTGAAATTTTGAACCCCAAATAAGCGCCCATCAGTCGTGAAATCCCCAGGGCGCTTTTTCGGATGGGCGATTTACGGCAGAATCCGGTATTATATAAAGAAAGTATTATTATGAACATCTCGCGCATATTGCCAATGTTTTATACTGTTTGCAGTTTGCATATGAAAGTGGTTGTTGATGCCCCTCCTATTATTCGACGTCGTTGACAATGCGATAACAATGCCACTCGCACTGTGCACATTTTAGCTCTAGATCTAGTGCCATTTTAGCACTAGATCTAGTACTTTTTCGGATTAGTGCTACTAGCACTAACCACTCGCACTACGCCCATTTCGACACATTTACATACATGTACATGGTTACTGACATGAACCCATATTCTTTGACACATATTTTGAAATTACAGGTAAACCATGACCTTTGACACATTTTTCTGTTACTGACATATGTATCCATAAGTAACCATGACCTTTGACACACACCTTCCAATTTTACAATGGTGCTTTGAATTCTTAATTTCTAGAAAAAAAGTACCTTAAATGATAGTTCGTAATTCTCTCCTCCCCATATTTGCAGTCCTGGGTCATAAGCTCCCATTTCAAAGAAATATTCTTTATCCATAGCAAATAATCCACCAGCCATGACTGGTGACCTGTAGATAGAAGTATTCACCTATTATGGCTACAGGGACAAACCCATATGGTATATATATCATGTTCATGCAATTTCCATCTGAGCAAGTCATATGTACCATACTCAACCACATTAGTGCCCAGGGTCCAGGGGTGGCATGAGGGGGAATAAGAGGGGGAATAAAAGATTATTTTACAAAGCGAGTTGCATGTCATTTTCATGCACGACCACTCTGACATAATTTGCTTATATATAGCAAAATGTGAGCCTGAATATAAAAATTGTGCAAAAGTGGGGGGTGGGCGCTTAAACGGGCAGGAGCGCTAACGTGGTCGAGTACGGTAAATATTTAACATGTTTGAACAAAATCCATCTATACATGACCTAGATTTGATTTCAGAATTACAGATTGAACTGATGAATTTTTTACATTAAAATGGCCGCCAATTTGCAATCTTGAATCAGATCATGAAATGAATGAATGTGCATACAGTATATGTATTTCAAAATATATGATGTGTGTATGCATTAGAATATGATCAGTGAAGGCATGTCAAAATCAAAATCAAAATCAAAATTGGCATTTATCTTTAACATGGTGAGTATGTGGTTCGTACACACCGAATTTAGTTCAGAACAGACAAACAAGCAGCCTTTTGGCTGAAATAGCTCCGCTGTTAACAATACACATTTCAATTGAAGAACTAAATATATCATTAGAAAATGAACAAATCTGTGAGAGGTCTACCTGTAGTACCTATACCCGTATGTATAATATCAAAGCAACTGGACTTGCTGTTTTCAACAAGAATTCAAAAATATTACTTTTTACCAAAAATGACAAAAACACTCATCTAAATTAGATAATTAAAGATATCATTCTGAAATGAACAAATCTGAGAGAGGTCCTGAAGTACCTATATGTAAAGCATCAAAACAATCAGACTTGAAGTCAAAAATATCACTTCTTACCAAAAATATTCATCAAAATTGGAGAATTGAAGATATCATCACAAAATGAACAAATCAAAGCAATTGGACATGCAGTTTTCAACAACAAGTCGAAAAAGTAATTTTTTACCAAAAATGACAAACATATTCATCAAAATTAACAAATCTAAGAGAGGTCTGCTCAAGGTACATATACACCAAGTATCAAAGCAATAAGAATTGTAGTTTTCAAGAAGAAGTCGAAAAAGTAAAAAGTTGACACGGACGGCGGACGACAATTACTCATATGATAACAGTCTGTAAGCTCCGCTCGACAGAGTCGACAGCGGGGCTAAAAAGATACTATATTTACCTATATGGCTCAGTTTGATGTTTCCTTCTTTTGACCTCTTCTTCTGTGATAGGAACACGCTTGTAAAAAAACTCCCAATCAAATGCACCACGTGCTAGTTTACCATCTCCCTGTGGGTACACTCGAAAATCCATATTGTCAATGACATCTACTATTGGACATGTGACAGTTGACCTGCAGAAATAAATGTATTATAGATAAACATCAAACTTATTTTATCTCCATGACAACACATCTCTTTCCTTCATCACCTTGACATTTCAGGGGTTTCCAGTTTTGTTTTTACAATAACATTAAATGCTCAATATTTTTCACAAGGAAATTTAATTCTTTTTACAACTTTACGAATAGGCTATACGCCTATAATCAGCAATAATCACCAAACGTATATCTAAATTCTAAAGATGCTAAACTGTTTTTAGACTTTAATGACATAATGCATCCCAATATATTGGGAAATGATTGAAAAAACCCAATTGATGCGAGTTCATATCCCTAGAAAGTACCAAAATGTATGACCTTTAGGGGTCATGTATCAGTACCAGGATGTATGACCTTTAGGGGTCATGTATCAGTACCAGGTTGTGTGACCTTTCAGGGTCATATAACTACCAGGATGTATGACCTTTCAGGATCATATAACTACCAGGATGTATGACCTTCAGGGACCATGCATACTATTAGGATGCATGACCTTTTATATTAGGGGTCTTTCATGTGGCCCATTGCAGATTTTGCTTTAAATGTACAAATGACGTAATTTTACCAACTTACAGTGATTTAGTGAAACTAAAAAAAGTGCATACAAGTCAACATTATGAAATATTACAGGATCTATTGTAAAACTTCACCATATTTTTAGCAATAATTACTAATTACAATGAGCTGTGAATTAAATTTTTTATTTTCAAAACGAGCAATATCGTTTGTTCTGCAGAGGTTCAATTCAATTTTGAGTTAATATAACTGTGTTACTTAATTCTGCAGTGGCTACAATACATAATTCATAGTTAATGTGATTGCAAGACTTATTTCTCATGGCAACTGCAACAGTATCATGTTCAATTAAATAGAATTCAGATAAAAGTCTACAGACCATTATCAAAAGAAATGGTTGTGGTTGCTAGGGACGCACCCTAATATCAATTTATTAGTAATATTGTATCTATGATAGCCTGCTTGCAATCTCAATTATGCATATTAATGAGGTCATACAAAAAAATAGTAAATTTAAGCAAATTACAAACCAATTTAAGGTAGCGAGACTATTATTTGTGTTGAAAATTACGATTTTCACATTTATTTATTAATTGATGAAATGCACTATAAACTTTCATGTGATAAAGTCAACATAACATAGAATGTCATGTAAGTTGGTTAAAATGTAGATTTTCTGAAGGGAAGCAAGGCAGCCTCAGTAGTGTTTTCCAAAATCAACAACACAGGTTTAATCTGTGTGCCTATAAGTTTCAAAGATAAACTCAAGACAAAGCAATGTTAGGATGTGTTATCAGTAGCTATCTGACACACAATGAGTGTTTCCAAACATTTGAGTGGTTTGTCTCCGCCCCTGTTTGTTTCACAGATTAGGCATTTGCATATGAATGTGTCAGACACAAGGTCATACAGCCACTGAAAAAAATCATTGATTTTGGTGTTTTCATCTGCCGATTTTATCCAATTATCGCTATCTCATGTTTCCAATAGCCTTACACATTTGGATGTCCCTACACATGTTAAAACAGACCTTGATGGGGAAACAAATTGATTGTGCCGATAAACAAGTTTGAAAATCTTTGCTGTTACTTCATGGACGTTTTCTAGGAGTTTATGTTTTTCAAAATACAAGTCTTTAACAAAACGTATACTTATTGTCGTCGGATTAACACCAAATTTTCACAGCTTTAAAGTGACAGTG